TTTTTTTTTTTCCTTATGTTTCTTTCTTTTTTAGTCTTTTTCCCTTCTTTTTATGGCCTGCCTCCTTTTTATGTTTCTTTGTGATTGCTTTTTCAAGTTTGTTTTAAAAGTTCACAGCGTCCTTTCTTTTCTTTTAGACCAGGAGACCGTGATCTCACCCTGACGGTAAGATCAAAAGTCTCTGCTCGCCCCCAGCCTGCGGGCTTGGGCTCAGTCCAGACGCCTCCCTGAATGCAGATGTGTCGCCGCGGTCTTCCCGGGCTATAAAGCGGCCTCCAGCGCCTTAGCGCGCGCAAGAGCGCTTGGAGTTGTGGGGTGCGGACCCCGAGAGGGGTCCGGAGCCAGTGGCGGGTTGCGGCTGGATGCCGGGGCTGGCGGCGTGTGGCGTACTCGTGGGTGGGGACGCCACGCGCGTCTGATGCCTGCGGCCGTAGAGGCCGAAACCGCGACCCCTCCAGGCCTGGGAGATGCGGCCGTGGGGCGTGAAACGCTTCTTGCGAGCGAGGGAACGGTGAGTCGGCAGACGCCGCCGGCGGCCTCAGGGTTCTGATGGCCGCGCTGGGCGCTTCATGCCTGCAAGGAGGGTCGGCGCCGCTCGAGGTCAGCTCCCACCAGCCCCTGGCTCACCTTCGAAGCACGGAGCGCCCACTTAGGCGCACCGGTAGCCGCGCGCACATCGCTGGGCGCCGCTCAGTGAAGGCAGGGAGTTCGCCCCGGTGGTGTTTTGCCTCCTCCTTTCATTCCCCTTGCTGCTCTTCCAACCCCTGCCCCCCCCCCTTCGCGGGCCTTGGCCTGAACTCGGGTCTCCTCGTTGCTCGCCGAAGCCGCTGCTGGATCAGTGGCTGGCCCTCCCCCGCTTAGGCGCCGCGCACTGTGCGATCCGCCCTAACATCTGTCCGTCTAACCATAGGCGCATCCATCAGTGTCAATGGGCTGCACATTGCAGCGACAGCCCGTCACGCACAACACGGGCTGTGCGGAGTGCACACCGCGACCGCACTGTTTTGCCGGGACAGGCAAACAGATTCAGCCCGGTGTGGCGGGGTAGGCTGGATCCCTGATCTCTACTGTGTCCTTTTAACTACCTGCACTCGACCCCCTTAATCCGGGGGCCCAAACACGTGAATAGTTTTTCAGACTATTGTAGGGATAGGACAGATGAAAAGGGGGCAGTGTCGACCTAGTCCTAGGTTGTCTCTGCCCTTTTTCTGTGGACTGGGTGTGGCTGAAAGAGAAGGGGAGAGAGCTTCCAAATCCGTAGCAACCACAGTATAGACCCTGAAACTACTTGAATGCAGGGGCTTATGCCCACTGTAACTGGGCAGATGCTGGGTTGTCAGTTCACCAGAACGTGTTAGCCAGGAGATCTCAGTGTAAAACTTTGCTGGTCCTATTTGGCTGCTGCACCACCAGGCCTGACAAGGAGAAACAAGAGAGGGTTAAAAAACAGGGATCCCAGTGAAAACCAAGGGAAAAAGGTGTCTGGGTGGCAGTAAGTCTGTAATCCCCATGTTATTTAGAGGTAGTCAGGCAGAGCCATATGTGGACAGTGCCTGGTGCCCATTCTTCCAGATTGCTGACCTCGGCTGTGGTTGCGTGTTCTCCCTGTCATTGTGTGTTCTCCCCAGTGGTTGCCTCTTGCTTCCCTATCCTTCCACAACTGTCCAGAGGGTAAACATGCACATGTGTCTTTGATCAGTCCCGCCTGTCCAAAGGACCCTTGTCCTCACGTTAAAAACTTCGGGGTAGGGTTTATAAGGGACTTATTCCTCAGACATTTTCTGGGAGGCTGGCTGTACCTGGCATTTTACCTGACTTCATTCTTACCGCAAATATTTCTTTCTGGGTGCCTGGTGAGTTCTGTCCCCTCTAATCAACTTTTTTAAAGAGGGGGGGAAATCCTGTACAGCTGTTCACATTGTGATTGGCAAGTTAGAAGGGGGAAAGAGCCACTTTCCAGTGAATGCAGAGGTCTGTTCAGTTCCTGAGGAGTCCAGAGAGGCTGCTGCAGTGCATACTGGGGATCCTTCCTTCAGAAAGGAGATACAGCCTGTGCTTTGGGGGTGCAGGCGCTGCATAACCACATCCGGTGGTCCAGCTGTTTTTTATGCTAGACTGGAGAGCAGAAAAGCCTGCGCCCTGCGAAGGAACTATAGTTCTATGGAAGATGCACCATGTAGAAATCTTTTTTATCCTACTCTTCAAAGAGTTGCAGGTGTCTTCCAAAAACAAGAAACACATCCCCAAGAGCACCAGGTAACTTTTTTTTCCGCTTGAGTCATGCTGGATAGTAAACATTTAAGCCAAATGTCCCCCATCTCTGGGAGATGATTTTTTTAAATCCCTAAAAACTAAAGAAGGGAAAAATGGGCTGAGGGGTAGTAGGACGACTCAGAGAGAACCATCCAGTGGAGAACACTCCTGGGAGAAACTGGCAGCTCACATCGTGGCCAGGTGGTTCACACCGAAACTAAATAGTCATGTTGTAAACCCAAATCATTTCCGGGGGCCCTGAAGGCAATTCTTATCCCCCAGATTGCATCTTAGGGCCAATGGAAGCCCTCTTGTCCTCAGACCCGGGGTACTGGGCTGTATTCTATAGAAAAACTCCCAGTCTGTCTCCAGTCTGTTTATGAACTCAAGGAGTCCTGGACCCCATTCCCCGGTCCTATCTTAATGGGTCTAAACCACCCCCCACAAGCGTTCTGACCCCCAACTGAGGAGTTCCCGAGGGTGGGGGTAGGCAAAGGCAAGCATGGCTTGGAACAGGTTGCAGTGGAGAGGGAGGGGTCCTGACCTGCAGTACATCCTGCCTGAGTCTGAAAGTCCGGTCCTGGGAAGAAGCAGCTGGGCTACCGCGGGGAGGCAGCCGAGGTTGTGTCCAATGTGACGACTGAGGGCAATGGGTGACCGCTTTCCTGACCCGAAGAAGGTCGAGGTGTGTCATTGGGATGACCACCTAGGGAAAAGACTTAAAGGCCTGCCGGCCCAGGGCAGGCTCCAGTCCCAGTCACCCAGGGCCTAAACTCTGACCTTGGACAGGGTTTCCTGGTGCCTTGAGGGAGGCGTGGACCACCTGGAGGGACAAGGCAGTCTGGGTAGTACACTCCAGGAGCCTGCACCCGGTTTAAAGATATGAGTGCGGCTGGCCAGAGTGCGGGCCTTTGGAGAAATCAGGACCTGGGCAGGCGGCACCAGGTATGCCTGCTACACTGGCTCCTGGATGATGCCCCCCCCCCTTTTTTTTGGTCCTCCACACACCGCAGTGTGGGCTGGGCAGTGGGGAGGAAGTGCCCTGGGTGCAGAGAAGCCTGCCACTTGCACACCTCAACCAAGAATTGGGTCCCTTCTGGGGACCTCAGCCCCTGCCAAAACGCGAAAGATTCGGACCCTGGGGCCAGGCCCTCTCCAGGCGGTAAATTGTTTGTTAAAAGTGCATTTACACAGCAGCGAAGTTTGTTTTTTCTTCTTCTTTTTTTTTTTTCCGGTAGCTTTGTTTTAACGAACCAGATGTTTTGTCTGTAAATTCTCCCAAGAACTTTTACAGTTTTGACGTGAAATAAACCTTCGAAAATCGGAGCGGTATATTAATGCCACTTTTGTGGGGCCTCTGGAGGGATGCTTCAGGCGCTCCCCGAGGTGGCTGGTGGTGGGGGGGTAAACTTCGTTAAAAAGTAGGAGGCTGATTTCCGCGCAAGGTCAAGAATGGGTTTGGGAGTGTGAAGTGTGTCCCCCACCCCCAACACAAAAGTACTCGTGCGCGCGCGCGCACGCCCCCCACCTATGCCCAAACCCTCCCCCTCCTGATCCTGGCTTCCTACTTAGTAAATTTCTTGTGGGGTAGTGCACCGAGGTATGGCCCGATTCGGCGGACAAGCCCAAGGCACGCTGGTTTTCCGCCAGGACCACTCAATTCAAAAGCAAAAGGGCCTGCGATCTTCCCGGGGCAGCCTAGATGCCCGCGTTCTTCTAGGCGGAAGCTGGATTTGCAGCCCGCGGGGAACTCCTGGGCGTCTAGACCCCAGAGAACTTTGGAAGCTGAAGCTGTCTAGCCCCCACGGAAGCCAGGGCCCTCAAGTCCCCCTCCCGGATGCCTCACCCCCCCCACCCCGCCATTCCGGATTTCCAGGCAGTTCTAAACGTCTTTTTAAAAATCTAAACTCTACACCTAGCAGGGGGAGGAAGGAAGATTACCGCTGGGGTGGGGGCGGGGGAGAAGCGGATCGGGTTGGGTGGTAGGTAGAGTTCACTTTCTCGGGTTTCTGGAGACAGGCTGGCCGTTTCCTTCTCCTGTCCCTCCTTTCCCCCACTTTCCTGGGCTCTCAGTGGCGCATCTTCAAATAGCTCTTTTTCTTCCGTAATATTCTTTCGTTCTGTCGTTCGCCGAACTTAAAAAATAAAATAAAAATAAAAACTTTTTAAAGGAGGTTGAACATTAAACAAAACAGATAATCTTTGCATTTCGGTCTAAAGAGGACAGATGTATATTAAGCCCAGTTTTGAGGGTGCGATGACTGGTGGATTATCCTTTTATGAAGTCCCACGTGTAGACGTAGGTTGCGGGGGGCGGGTGGGGGGATTTCTGGAATTCCTCGCTATAATGTTACGTGTCCCCCACCCCACTTTGGGTGAAATGGATATTTGGAAACTATTTGTGAAGAGTTTTAAAAAAACCAAACAAAACCTACATTGGAGACGGCTGCAGCCGCGGTGGGACTCACCCCTGGCAAGAGCGAGTAGCTCTTTGCTAGTGGGTACGCAGAAATGCCCACCTCTTCCCGTGCGGTTACGGGAACTACCAGGCAGCAGCGGGTTTCTGAATCAAGTTATGGGCAACCCGACGCTGGTGTGAACCCCTGCTCTCCGAATACAGGAACCCTGAAGGAAGAGGAGGTCCCAGAAATGAAACCACCCGGTCTTTTCTAACCAGACAGTACATACAGCTTTTTGCGCCTGGTGACCTCATTAACTGGCCAGGGAATTTTCAAGAGCAGGAAGAATTTTGTTTCCCTGTACTCTCCCAACTTCCCTTCTCTTTTCTGATTTATACATCATGATTTTGTGTTTGTTCCCAAATTTTCAAACGGAGAAGACTAAGCATGACTCTCAATAGGGCCGGTACACGAGAGAGGTACAAGGGGCTTCGTTCTTTTTTCATTTTTTATTTCTTGAAACTTGATGAATAACACATGTAGTTGGACAATAGAAGGACCAAGGTTATTGGGGACAAGTGGCCCCAAGGGTCACATTATATGACATGTAGGCATCTCTGATCGGGGACTTTTATAACCTAGAATTACCCCCTCTGCAGAGAAGCCCTGAATTCTGCCTTTCCTCCTCCTCTGCCACATCTTCTCCGCCCCCCACGTCTTTCACCCTCTTTCTTCTTCCCTCCCCCTGTTTTCATGTTCTGTTCTACCAGTTCCTCCTCGACCTTCATAAGAATTATCAAAGATTTTTTTTTTAATGACTGTCAAGTCCTAGTCCCAAACAGGTCAAGTCGTCCTCCCT